CCCTATCAAAGTAGCCTCACCTACCTCAAATCAGCAATAGATCTGCATCTCAACCATAAAGAGCCTCGGTGGAGCCATTTGAATTCTTGGTGATAACTGTTATTGTAAGCAAACTCAATGAGAGGCAAGTGGTCATCCCAATTACCCTTGAAATCGATCACACACGCTCTCCAAATATCCTCCAAGAGTTTTAATGGTCCTCTTAGCCTGACCATTTGTCTGCATGGAGGTGGCTGTGCTAAACTTTACTTGAGCACCAAGACCCTTCTGAAATGATCTCCAAAACTAAGAGGTATACTGAGTACTCTCCTGAGATGATGGATTAGGGCACCCCATGCAGCAAACTACCTCTCGAATGTATAATCTAGCATAATCCCTCAACTGAATCCAGTAGTTTTGACTGGTAAGACATGAGCTGATTTAGTCAACCTGTCCATAATAACCCATATAGAGTCATACTATTTACGGATACGAGGCAATCCTATAATGAAATCCATGTTGATCTCTTCCCACTTCCAAGTAGGAATACTAATGTTTGAAGCATACCCCAGTCTCGTGCTCAACTTCATCTGCTTGGAAATTCAGACACTTAACTACAAACTCCGCTCATGTCTTTCTTCATACCATTTCACCAATAGACTTTCGTAGATCACGATGCATCTTAGTGGCTTTGGGTTGATAGGATACCGAGAGCCATGAGCCTCGCTCAATCCTCAAATCATCGTGGAGACACACTACAATTGGCCTTTGATATCGGGTATACCATCTCCCTCTTGGGAGAAAACCCCCTTTCTAACTTTGGACCGCTTCCTTCAACTTCACTAAAATAGGATCCTCATCTTGCCTAGCCTTGACTTGATCACCAATAGAAGGTCGACCCATTACCGAATAATGACACTACCATCAGAGTCAATAAGACCTTGAACCACTAAACGATCAAGCCTGTGGATATCCTTTTCTAACTCCCTCCTCCCATCCTCAACATGAGTCCTCTTCATGGATAATTCTACTAAGAGCATCCTCCATATATTGGCCTTGCACGGATACTAAAAGGACACTCCATGTTAGTCCTTGAGAAGTTCTCGAAATCTTCTTGGTCACAAATTCCTTGTCATACAGGTGAACACATGCGAAGAATCTTGCGGTCAGTGAACACATCCACATGCCCATACAAATAGTGCCTCCAAATCTTCAATGTAAACACCACACTACCAACTCTAGGTCATGTGTTAGGTAATTCTTCTCATGAGTCTTAAGCTTTCTAGAGGCATACACATGACACCACAACGTGCATCAACACAACTAAGACCCAGCCTAGAGGCATCTGTTACCACAAGACCATTCGTGCCCTCTAGTAGGGTTAATACCGGGGCTGAAGTGAGTCAACTCTTTAACTCTTGAAAGCTATTCTCATAAGCATCCGACAACTAAATTTGACCTTCTTGTAGGTCAGCATAGTCCAATGGTGTTGTGATGGATCAGAAAGCCCTTAATAAACCTCCCACCCTTAGTAGCCCGACTAAACACAAAAAGCTCCTACTATCCGAAGGATTAACTGGTCTAGGTCAATTCTTCACCACTTCTATCTTTAGGAAGTCCACTTGTACACCCTTGCTAGACACCCATGACCCAAAAATACTACGATTTGATCAAAACTCACATTGCGTTGGCAAACAAGCGGAGATCCTTTAGACTCTCTAACACAATCCTCAAATGAGTGGCATGCTCTCCTTGCTCCGAGTATATGAAGATATCATTTATGAACAATCACAAACATATTCAATCTTACTTGAACATATATTCATCAAATTCATAAAAGTTGTGAGGCATTTGTTAGTCAAAGACATAACTACAAACTTGTAACGAACATACTGAGTCCTGAAGGTTGTCTTTGAAATGTCACTCTCTCTAACTCTTAGCTGATGGTATCTGGATTTGAGGTCTATCTTTGAAGCACTTGATACCACTGAATTTGGTCAAATAAGTCGTAATCTTGGGGAAGGATACTTATTATTTATTGTGACCTTGTTCAATTATCAATAATCCAATGCATTCTAAGGGAACCATCCTTCTTCAAGAAAAAGAACTGAAGCACCCCATGGGGATTTACTAGGCCGATGAAGCCCTTATCTAGGAGATCTTTCAGCTGGTCTTTCATATCCTTTAGCTCACGTTGGAGCTGTGCAGCAGAGAGGAATGGATATAGGCTGCGTATCAGGGGAGAAGGTCAATACTAAAGTCGATCTCCCGCTCGGGGAAACTCTGGTAGATCATCTAGAAATACCTTCGGACACTCACATACTAGGCGGGGCGAGTTGGAGTCTCGAGATGTAGCATCCTTAACCCAAACTAGATGATACACATCCCTTAGAGATCATCTTCCTGGCCTTGAGATAGGCAACAAAGCGGCCTAGGGAACTGTTGAACTACCTTTCCATTCTAGAATTTGGTTTATCTAGAAATCATAACTCTACTGCCCGAGTTCTACAATTGGTAGGCATAACATGCATGTAACCAGTCATACTGAAAATAATATCGAAATCATTCATGTCTAACTCTACTAAGTCGGTTGATGTGATTTCTAACGAGCGTGACGGGCGATTTCGCCTGCCCGTCAAGCTACTCGCTGAGTCACGGCCAGGCAGATTGAGAAGGGTTACGACGGAGTTTTGGGAGTGACTCCGAAACTAACATCAACATAAGGAGTCATAAAAATATAAAGTATCCCCAGCAAATAATTTTTATGAAACATTCCTCTGTGAATTCCACAGGAACTTCTATAGTCAATGGAATATATGCGGTGCTTGATCAATCAAATGTAAGTCGATATAACGATTAGAATTGGACCATAAAGGGAATTTCAGTCTATACCGGCACCATAATATTATATTGGGGAGGAAGATCAGAATTAAAAATTGATAGAAAAGCAAGGATATGGGCTCGTGTAAGTAGGAAATAAAAAATATCTATTCTAGTTCTATCATCAGCTATGGGTTTGAATCTAAGGAAATTCTAGAGAATGTTGTTATCCTGAATTTTTGTCTTTTACGAGTGATAAGGAGAAAAATTGGGTCAAAAGAAAATGTCATTTGGAGTTTTATCAACAATTTGCGTGTGTAGGTGGCGATCAGTATTTTCTGAATCCTTATGTAAGGAATTACAAAGAAATTCTTTTAACAGATATATGTGAATTAGGAAGGATTGATCGACAAAATATGAAACGAGGCGAACTTTGATATACCCTTAATAATACATTTTTTATTTACCATGAGATATACTGACAGTCTCCGATCATTTAGTTAGGCTGATATTTGGTGGTGCCACTTGATGATATGAATCATTTGAAAAATAAGCATATTCTTTTTGTAGCAGATCTTTTACAGATCGTTGGGATTAGCTCTGGTTTTATTTGAAAATGTGGTTCCAAGAAATTCTACCAAGATTTGGGCTGGTGAGGATTTTAGTCTCTAACCATACTAACCCCAATCTAGAGTTTTAACTTCTATTAACACGAGGATTTTAAGTCCTCAGGTATCGGCTATTCCCAATCTGGTATCCTCATTATTATTATATACTAATTTAGTAGAACTGTCAAATAAAAAGGACAAAGTTGATTAAAATTTTTATCAAAGCCAAAAATTTCTTCTGATCTTCGAAAAGATGGCTTTGTAAGTTTCAGTACGATGGCAATGTTAATAATTGATGAAAACCATTCAACTATGGATTCCTTGCTCAAAGATATTCATTTCTATATATATCATATATCACAAGACTTGTGATAAGAGAATGTCATTTACACTAAAATTCATTTCTCAAAAAATAGAGTGAATGAGAAAGATAAGAAATTTTGAACCGCTAAAGGAAAGGGGTCGGATAATGTTGGGGAAGGAAATAGTCTTTAAGGATAGAGGACTTGAATTGCGATTTTTAAAATCAGCGGATTTTCTCTTACTATAATTTCAGTGTTTGTCAGTATTCCCATGTAGAGACAGGACTCTATCCTTTATTCTCGTCTGATTAAGAAGTTCTTGAAAATATCTATGTTGTGGAGTGAATGATTTGATCAAGAAATATTAGTTCTTTCTTCAATATAGAATAAGTCACACCAATTCTTTTTTTATGAAAATATGATTCAGGTCATCATTGTCATTGATATAGTATTCAATGCGTATGTATATATGTTTATCCATCACTTTATTCTTTTTCTTTACGAATTTTTGATGTAAAGATTCCTCTACCAACGGATTTAACTCCATTTGTTAGAATAGCTTCCATTGAGTCTCTGCTAACCTGAACCCTTTATTTATTTTTCAGAAAATAGGATTTGGCTCAAGATTGCCTATTTTTGTTAATTCCATGGTTTCTCTAAGGTGGAAGTGATCACTTAGTAAGTTTTCATTAGGCTCAATCCAATTAAGTCGCGGTGAAGTTACAAATCAAAAGAACTTGAAATTTTCATTGAACATGATACAAATTACGAAAAGAAAATATCGAATAATCATTCTATGATGAAAATAGAATAACTACCAATTTTGTGTACATAACGTATATACAATACAATCAAATCTAAATTTTTTTTGTAATTTCGATTCTAATAGAGGTAGGTATTTGTTTTGAGAACTCCAAAACCGAAAAGGAATTTGAAAAATTTTCTGGTACGGAATCTTAGTCTAAATAATTATAATTTTAATTTAGAGTATCCATTCTTTATAGTCCGAAAGATATAGACCATCAATTAGTTGATTCGTTCTAATTCGTTGAAGTTAATCATTGGAAAAATATGAAGGAGACATTGGCGTTTCAAAACATGAATTTCTTTTAACAATTTTGTAAAATTACTGTCTTTATCCAAGTACCGAAGGAAATAAAAATCATTCTTTGCTTTGACTTTGATGAAAAATTACCAGTTAAAATGGACCCAGTCGTACCTATCCAATAATGAAATATGGATTATGACTAACTCGCTATTCACTCGGTTTTGGGGTCATAATCATTATGTAGGAGATGTGGCCAAGTGGTTCAAGGCATAGCATTGGAACTGCTATGAGGCTTTTTGTTTACCGAGGGTTCAAATCCTCTCTTTCCGTACCTTCACTTAATTCGCCAATTTTACTAACAAAAGGACTCAATAGCAATGGATACCATCATTCCAACGGCTGAACCGCTTGTTTGATCTAAAGATATAGATTCTCAATTCCTAATTGTTGTAGCGCGTAAATAGAATAGTAAAAAATAATCATAATCAAAATCTGGAAGAAAAAGTAGACAAGGAATGAAAATAGATCCTTGGTCTATGATACGAAAATGGGAAATCCGGATCAAGCTGGTTTATCTTACTTAACTTTCTTAACCTTGGGTTAATTTACTTCGCCTAAAGGAAGAAATTTTTGAACCCTTGGTTTTTGAGTACGGAGTTTTAAATCCACATGAGAATAATATTCTACGACTAGAAATTCATTTATTTTCAAACCAGAGCCCATTTACTATCTATTATTTGATTAACTAATCCTTTATATTGGAATGTGTGAAGGGTCAAGCCAAGTTGGTAATTCCTCATCAGTGGAAGAATGGGAAAATTTGAATGAGCTTTGGATTTTGTTCATACTTTGCCGTAATAATATCCCACGGGGCTGGTGATAACTAGAACATATCTACTAATGACCCCTTCTATTGACCCCTTGACTTTTCTGGCGATACGAACGTATTTAAGTAATTGTCGTTCTGTAAGACAATAATGAAACACAGTTTTTATTTTTCTTCTAGATGAATATGATATTGAGATTTTTTTTTTCCGGAACGCTATTGGTTTCTAAGATCACTTTCGGTCCTAGGTTTTTTATTAGTTAAGTCCTGGTAAAGCCCCTAGGCGGCATATTTTTTTGAAACGAATTCCTCGTTAACGCGACGTAAAGACTCATTATTATTTCTTATTTAGTATTTTGAATTAATTCTTATTTTTATTTATTTATTTTTAGTGAATTTTATTTTACAGAATAAACCTAAACTAAAACGAAACTGAAATAAATGAAGCAAAGTTTACTGAACTTGTACTATTACTATAAATACTATAAAGAAAATACTATTAAAGAAGAATGGGATAAATTGGATAAATATACAGAACCCCTTCTATTATATATATAATCCTTTCCTGACATAATTGGAAGTTCCTATAATAAATTGATAGCTTTTGAAAAAGGAAGAAGACGCTATTTAAATATTCTTTGATTTCAAAGGAACATTATCCATCATCTAAAAAATATAATAAAAAAGAGAGGAAAAAGCCGACTATCAAAATCAAACACGATGACCATCGCATTTGCTCTAACCTCTGAGCTAAGTGGGCCCACATCATAGAAATCTTATATGCATAGTAATTCACTAAACTACTAAAATTGAAATCTTAGTTATTAACTATTCAATATTATATTGAATATTCTAGAACATAAGGATTAATATNATATTGAATATTCTAGAACATAAGGATTAATATAGCGACATAGAATTTCGATTTATGACAATTCTAATAATAATTATAATACTAATATTATTAAATAGTGATTATAAATATTGTTAATATTCTTTGATTTTCATTTTAAATTTGAATGATAAATATTCTTTTTCATTTCTTTTTTTGGAATTTGAAATCCTTTTCTCTACGGATAGAGGAATACATAGAGTTGAACATAGTAAAATAAGAAATTGAAAGATTTCGTTGAAATTGTTCATTTGGAAATTTCTCAAAAAGCTAATCATAGGTTCTTCTCTCCATAGGAACAATAGGGCCATTATACTCATCACTAAACTTGTTGAAGAGATGAAATATAACCAAGCTATATATTTTTTATCAGAGGTTGAATCGATCATCAGAAGAACAATTAGGCCAAAAATTAGGATACATTCAGGGAAAATCAAACTTCTATCGAAGAGAAGCAAATGAAAGGCTTTCATGAAAATTCTCGTAGAATCGAGAATGAAGTTTTCATTCTGTACATGCCAGATCATGAATTAGTAACTGCTTCCAAATTCCAAAAAACATTCTCAGTTGTGTCGAACTTTTCATTTTTGGAATAGTTATGGAATCTCCATGAATAGGATCAAAACTTATTCCATGGTATTTACATGAGGTTCCTCTTTTAGAAAGTCCCCGAGAGGGCTTAGTTGATCCATGATTTATGTTTCATCTTTCATTTCCTTTTCGTTTGTTTCGAGAAATCTATTGATCAATTCCAATTCTTTCTTTTTCTATTGATTCTTTTCCGATCGAGATGTATAGATCCTGTTTATGGATTAACAAAAATGTGCAAGAGATCTATTTACCTCTACCATTTTATGAGTCTCTTCCTTTTTGCGTATGGCATCGCTACTCCCTTTGGCAGCATCCAATCTAAAAATGCATACACATCAAGATGAAATACTCGTAACATACTAGTGACCACATCGGGAGAGACCTCTTGCTCCTAATGAGATGATAGTGCATAAAATATGTTTTGACGTTGAGGACCACCTACACTAATGGATGCACCCTGCTAAGCTGAGCATGCTGGTGAAGTTGTTGAACTGGTGGTTAGGTCACAACCTCTACCATGTCCCTGTCTGGTTGAAGGGCAGTCTCTGAGCATGTGTCTGGGATTCCTACACCCGAAGCACATGCCTGAACCCACTAAGTGCTCTCTGGTGTGCCTCCTACCACATTTGTCACAAATTGGAATTTCGAGCTCTTTTGAAATGCTCCCCTAACCTTTAGAGCCCGATGCTCTACCCCTCTGATCACGCCCAGGTCTGGACGAAACACTAGTTGATGATAGAGATGGGGCTGACGACCTCTGCTGGGACTCAGGGCGATGTCCACCACTGGACCTCTGCTGGAACTATCCATAACTCCCTGTCCTGGCCTTCTTGGCCTCTCTCTCCTTTTCCTTCATCTACTCTGCCTCTATCTGTTGGGTGTACATGATCAACCGTGAGAAATTTATGTCATTGATCAATATGGCAGTCCTGCACTCCTTGACTAAGGAATCTACATCCATTCACAAACCTGCTCACATGAGCCCTAGGATCAACGACCATCTCTGGTGCATATTTGGACAACTGGGTAAACTCTCCAAGGCATACTCTTGAACTGCCCTGTGGTTCTGCTTCAAGTTGACGAACTCTGTTGCTTTTGCCTCCCTCAACTCCCTAGGGAAGAACTTGTCCAAGAAAGCAATCACGAACTTATCCCAACTTAGGGGGACTGCTCCAACTCTTCTGCTATCCATCCACTGGCAAAACCATATGTAAGCAACCCCTTCAGCTGATAGGAGGCTAAATCTACACTCTCCTCTCCCGCCACCCCCATAATCTGGGTGATCTTTTGAACCTCCTCAAGGAAATCATGCGGGTCCTCATCCACTTTCGACCCCAGAAACTCAGGTGGATTCATCTTAAGAAAGTCTCACACTATCGCCGTTGTTGTGTTCCCATTCTGGGGAACATGGGCCACTGGCTGCTGGTTGACCTGAGCGGTCATGGCATGTGCCAACATTTGAAATGCCACTCTGAACTCGGCACGAGTGACCTGCTCGGGCAAAGGATGCGCTGGTACTGGTGGAGCTTGTTGATGCCCATATCCATTTCCATTATCATGGCCATTTCCGTTGCCATTTCTTTTATCATTTACTCGGCGTAAAGGCATATTTATGCAAACGCATATAGCACGAGTTAGAGAAATAGAGAGGTACTTCATCGCACGACATAGATCATGAAAGAAGGAAAATTTCTTAAAACATCTTGTAATGTCTTCCCCATAAGGGTGGAGCTCTTCATACCCATGAAAAAGACTCTACTTAACGTGGTTTTTAGACAACCTAGTACACTCTAAACCTTGATGCTGATACCAAGTTTGTCATGACTCAAGTTAGGAACCCGAATCGAGACACAGGACCTAGAACTACGAATGGCCCCAAGTCAATCCATGGCATATGCATAGCAACTCAAAAGCATAAATTAAAGTGGAAACTGATAACTTAAACATGAATAAGAAAAAGTATGAATAACATAAATGATAACATCACAATGCTAAATCTCAAAGCTGAATATACTAGTCTATGTCTGATGAGCCTCTACTATTGATGAGATATTGGGACAAGCCCCCAGCTATCTCCAAGACTGAAACAAACTGACAAAACAAAACTAAAATGATAAATGTCTTTAGATGATAAGGACTCACCCAAGGCAGGGATGAAATGGGCTGAGATGGGGAGCGAGCTATCAGCGAGACTGAGTTAGATTATCTGAACCTATATCATGAAATGATATAGCATAGAGTATGCGGTCAGTACTTTGAACATAGTAATGAGTATGTAAGGTAAGTAAAACATACTTAGCAAATGTTAACTGAAATCATGCAAATAAACATAAATCAAATAGATCATGAGGGTAAGGATTGCAGGCTGAAAACTGTATCTGAGACATACATAGTCATAAACTGGTTATCATAACTAAATATAGTGATCCATGATTTACAAATAAAAATTATATGAATTATCATAACTAAAATCGTAAGTAAAAGCTCATAAACTGATCATTGGGTCAAATCTACTGTAAAACATAATATAATAAGTCATGAACATGAGTAACTGAAATTATGAGTAATAATGGGAGACTCGTCATAACTGATACCATCACAATAGAGCTTATGTGATGCCCTAATAATAACGTCCAAATTGACTCCTCGTAAAGAGAGAGTGTAAATTATCATTGGCAAAACAAGTATACTTGACGAGTGTCGGGGCTGAATCCCACAGAGAATAGTACTTAGATGGAACAAAAGTTGTCTATCAAGTTGAACTAAGAAGCATCATTATATTAAAAACAAATAAATAAAAATTTGGAGCTTCCCACATTGCTCACACCAGGTTGTAATTAGGGGTTCTCAGCCTTAAGAGGGGGAATATATGGGTTTTAGCTTTGGTGATAACATTCCCTATCACGATTTTGATCTCGGTTACCCCATCTTTCATTATGATTAACCCATCCCTGGTTGTCATGGTTCTCCAATCTTGATTCTCTTTCCTTGGGCGCCAAGGACCTTGATTGGCACCTTTA